CGGCCAGTGCTGTGCTCACAGGCTCAGGGCGGCACGGAACTGCAGCCTGCACCGGATGCGGGCCCCGCGCGGGACGTGGACCTCGCACACCCAGACCTGGCCGAGCGTTGTGGCGGTCTCCTCCTCCTCTGCAGCCTCCCCTGCGGAGGCACCTTCATCATCCTCGCTTTCTAAAGACAACAGATGCACAAGGCCGTGCCAGGGGCGGCTCCGTGCCAGCCAACACCCTTGGCTCTTTGAACCAGGCTTGAGCAGAGGATGGTTTAGCCGCTGCGGTGACTCTCACCTGGGCTCAGCAATTGGGCGTTCGGGGTTTCAGGGGCTCTCACAACGGAGAGATCGTTTTTACGCTGCCACCCCTACGCAGGGGAGGCCGGCATGGTGGCCCGGCTCTGCTCAGCAGGCAGCGATTCGGCATGACCGAGACACGCTGCAGCCACCAGCACGACGAAGCCAGAACGTTTCCTCTTTCCAGCTTCCCCTCCTCATCCCTAGTGGAAGCGGAGCCATCCTCCCTCCCCGAGAAAGGCTCATCGATCCCTGACCGTGCCCAGCAAGCCCCGGGGGACCCGTTCCCGAAAGCCAGTGGGGCTTTTTCGGAGGCTGCAGCAGTAACCCAACCCAGCAGGGCTCTGGCACTTGTGGCTGCCCCAGCTCTGCAAACCACACCTTCCCCTGCGGCTGCCGGGGCGGCTGATTTAATGCTTCCCGATTTAGGGATCGTATTCTGCACAAGAACACACACCAAAATAAAAAAGAAAGCCCCAAAAACCCCAGAGCCCAAGCTGCACCAGAGGTCAGGCTGCCATGCCCACGGCGTTATGGCCCGGGTGCTATCGCCCAGCCCTCCGGCGCAGCGCACGCTGCGGTGTTTGGACAACCAGAAATGAGTTCCACATGGCAGGCGGGGGGGTTCCCTGCGCGCCGGCCGCCCAGCGCCCCGGAAAAAGAGGGGGGCTCGGGGGGGCCAGGCCGTGGCTGCTGCTGCTCCTCCTCTCCCTGCTCTGCAGGTTCTTCGGTAGCTGAACACCCACGGTGCAGCTGACGCGCAGCAGGAGAGTCACAAACAACGGCGGGTAGAGTCCCAGCACCGCTGCCCCAGACTCCGGAGCAGACATGATCTCATACAAAGCACATGTGGCCTGGAGAGAGAGGGAGCGAGCGCGCGGGAGAGGAGGATTAGGAGGGGATCTCCCACACCACGCTGGTGTCTGTTAGTAAATAACCCAGCGAGAGGGTTTTGTCCTCCCTCCCGCAACACCGAGGCCACCAAAGCGTCGGCATCTACCCCCAGCGCAACCTCTCCCCATCCCACGCGCGGCCCCGGCGGAGCTACAGCCGCTACGAAAAGCGGCGCTCCTCGGGAAAGCGGGGTGCTTCCAGCTGGGGGGAGGCCTGAAGCCCGTACCTGGGGGAGGAGAGCAGATCCAAGAGCTCAGGTTTTATGGGCAGGAAGACAACGCGCAGGCAGAGCCCTATTCCGGCCAATTTAAAAAGCCGTAATTACACAGCACAATATAGAGGGGTGTTAAAAGCAGAGCTGGGGCGGGGGAAGGGGGGGAGCTGCTTTCAGAGCGGCTGGTTCTGTACCATCTGCGTTTGGTCCTTCAGAGGAGGAGGAAATTTTCACAGCTGCTTTACTGCTTAGAAAGCTGCCAAGCTGGGTTTATTTTTTCTGAAGGGATAAAATGCAAAGTGGCCTCCCTTGAGGACGGACACCTGAGAGGCTTTTTACGAGCCTGTGGATTAGCTCTAATAGGCATTACACAGCGATGCGTTATTTCCAGAGTCCACGCCTGGCACAAGCCCCCAGGGCAAGGAAATGAAAAAAAGCATTCCAGGTGTCGGGGTGGGGAACGGCATCCTCCGCGGGGCCGGGGCCGGGGCCGAGCCGGGGCGGCAGCGGGACACTTACGGCCAGGGGCAGAGGGGTTGCGATGCGTTCGGATCCGCTGCCCAGCAGGAAGCACTTGCTCTCCTTGTACGGGACATCCCTGTTCACCTTCTCCAGGAGCTGCTCCAGGATCTGAGCCGGGGCCAGCGGGACACTTACGGCCAGGGGCAGAGGGGTTGCGATGCGTTCGGATCCGCTGCCCAGCAGGAAGCACTTGCTCTCCTTGTACGGGACATCCCTGTTCACCTTCTCCAGGAGCTGCTCCAGGATCTGCGAGGTGAGGGTGGGCTCGGTGGCCAGGGACCTCCACATGGTGCAGGTGTGGCTGGAGGAGAGGAGGGAGGGGAGCTCTGCTTTGGC